AACGACTCTCGACACCAAAATCTGAATTATTACGGTTTTGAATATTACATAACATATTGTTGTGTGATAGGTAATCTTTACATCGTTGTGTCTGTATTTTTTTAAATGATAAGGTTCAAGTGGCCAAAAGAAAATTTAATCATCTAAAATATCTCAAAATACCTACAAACTTATTGTTAATAATTATTATTGAAAAGTTATATCATTAACTATAATATCTTACATAGACTTAACCAATGTACAATTTGATTAGTATTATTTTTATTATTACATAATACACGTTCTTATTTTTAACAAATCCATCGGCAACTATGGCCATATTACGTGTGTTTGTTTAAAAACACGTGAGCATGTGGGTTAAGGATTCGTCACTAAGAACCCAGGTGGTCACCCATCCAGGAGCTAGTGACGCCGGGTGATGTTTGACCAAGGCAAACCATCGCGCCACACCAGSCCCCAATATACATTTTTGTGTGTTCCAAATATAAATGTTATTTTTTGCTATTCTTACATTAGTATACGACTAGTGTGTGCATATACCAGGTCAGAGGCAATTCTTTTTCAAGGGATCAACCGCATGGCCTGATTTTACAGTTTGGTTTAAAACACATGTAAATAGGACGAGGATTCGTCACTAAGAACTCAGGTGGTCACCCATCCGAGAGCTAGCGACCCCGGTCTATGCGTTCACGTTGACCTCAGAACAATTAAGTGACTTCGGCCAACCACCGTCTATTTTTCATCAAGTTCGAGAATGTTTTTTTTGTTTATCTAGATAATAATAACAACACGTATTTCACTTAAAATATTGTACAGGTAATAAATACGTACATGAAATAGGTATACTATATTTTTTTTTTAATTTGTCTAAAATCTTAAATTTAAAAAGTCAATTAGACTACCTAGTCAAAAAAGTAAACTATTAAAACTAGTAAAGATTCCAGCACTCGATTAAAATAATACTTTAAAAATGATTGTATTTCTCAGAAAAATTACCTATCACAAGATCTTATTTCTTTTCAGTATTAGAGATTTGGATTAATTTTAAAAAAACTATTAATAGAAGTTGCTTTTAATGTCGTAACGAAATTCTTATAATTCTTAATCACCTTCAAAAGTTGTTTTTCTTTTACCTTGATAAATTAATATTACGCATTTTTATTTTACAATATTTTATGTATATATACTAGAACAARGAATTTTTGTGTATTTTTTCTTTTTTGTTAGCTTTATTATATGCTTATTTCTAGGTTAGTAGTTGTACACAGCATATTTCAAAACATATGTGATCAAATTATAAATGTTTTTAGTGCATATTATATTGATAGTTAATCAAAAATCAAGCACTTAAGTAAATATTTTTATGAATCAAGGTATAATTACATTAAATATATTAAATATGGATGAAGAGTGAAATTTGTACTACTTAGCTCTTTAATTTTGTTTTAAAATATATTGTATATGATTGTGATACACAATATCTTGTGTATTTTTAAATATATGTGTCCCAAAAAACAGAGGRTACACACCGTATATATATTTAAACATACATAATAGATACATAGAAAATTGAATTAAGGAGTTTTTAGGGTAATAAAAGAATGTAATTTTTTTTAAGGCATATTCAACTGCATATAGGTACTTGATGAATTTTTAGTATATAAAAGTCCTCACTCCACAGTTATTAATTACTTTTACATCCAATCATGTCTACTTTCAAGTTTATTGTTTTAATCACAATTATAGTCCAGTCTTGTAAAGTATTATTAAATAAAAGTATTCAAATTCTTTATTTTTAATTTGAAGTTCTAATAAAATGAATATTTTGAGTATTATAGGTATACATATATTTACTTATCAAACAAAAATTCTAGTACATTTTGTTTTATTGAGTATTACAATACTTTTCATAATTAAAATASTRTGAACGTTTTTTTAATGTGTTTYTTATTTTAAAGAATTTAAAACACACATTTTCAAAAAAAGTTATCATTATGTATTATGCTATTAATTTTAAAGTTTTAAAATCGTTTTTGTTTTTTAGACAATAAAAATTATAATATGTTTAATGAGATTGTAAATCTTTAAATATAAATAAATTTTGTTATTTTAAAGATTTAAATAAAATATTCATTTGATTGATGTGATATTTTAATAAAATACATATCGACCAAAATCATACTTTTCACAAGTCACACAAGTTTCACAATGTAAACAATCGACAACCAATAGCTTTTCAACTTGATAACACTTAAGAGGATGTCAGTACATTTTTTACTTCTCTCACTCTCTCTCTCTTTTTGTCCCACGCACAACATAGTTACCAAATATTACATTCACAATAATCATGCAATGACATCCTCTTAAACGGCCTAACCAACCTTCTCTTTTTACTCTATCCCATAAGTCGAAGGTTGTAAACCTTACCTAATCTGGTAGTTTCACTCAAAGGGTCCAGTGGCCTTTGCAATTCAAGATCCTAACCTACGTATTCTAAATTGTTAACATAACTGTTCTACCTAACTATTCCACTTCCCCCACCTAACACTACCTCTCTCTCACCCTATCCCTATCTTAACCTAACCTAACCTTCCTCTTCACTTATCTCTCACTCACACCCTTTCCCCTTTCTCTCTCGCCTTTTCATCTGCTTCACTGATCCCACCTCTTTACTCTACTTCTCATTATTTCTCTCTCATCCCCTCTACCTATCCTTCTCTACCCCTCTCTCACACTTCCAGTCACTATAGTACCTACAGGTCATACCTACAGGTCACCTGATAATTGGTGAAAATATTTTTAAAAAAAATTTTAATTATTACACCTGACCAACTTCCTAATTTTTATCATGATTTAATTGTTAATCATAAAATTGTGTTATACCAGTGGTTATAAAGACTGCAGGCAATTTATCCCTTGATCAATATATAAATTAATAATATAAAAAGACCTACTGAAAAATAGAAGATTACTTACCCCATATCTGAATCTACTATTAAACTTCATCTTCGAAACATTGTTAACACATTTCGCACAGGTCTCACAGCTGAATATGATATTTAATTGGAAAATTTTAACTGATGAATACCATTTCTGAAATTTCAATAAAATATTTTATGATCTATTCATTTTTAACCATTACAGATAATATAAAATATAGCTAAATAACCCATTTAATGTTTAATTTTTACCGTATATAACTAATGATTATATGTGTTTTAAATATTTTATTCAAGAACTTATCAATTTTGTATGTATATAAAGATATAACATTTCTTCAATAGCAGCAACAACGCCTATTGGCTACTAGAACTCTGATATCAGTTCATTATTTTTTTAATAATTTTTTAYACAAAGCTTAATTATTATTGCTTATTATAGTTTGTTTATTTATTTTATTTTAATAATTTAAAAATATTATTCCAATTTATTATTTATTAATTTTAGAAAATAAATGATAAWTGCAATTCCAATATATAATATACAAAATAGTTATAAAATTGTTTAGGTACCAGTAAATTGTAAAAATTTAATTTAATATAAAATTGTTTTTAAACTATTAAGCAATATGCATTATAAATATAAAGTATAAGTAGGTAATAAATTAACCTATGTGAGTTATTGGCTTAATGTATAATATATTTTGTATGCATATTGTATAATATTATATAGGTACCATAATAAATACCTAATGTAATTTATCCAATAAATGATTTTCTGATAATTTCTAATATACAAAATCCTTAACAACCACGAGTTTTAATTAATTGTGTTATTGTGCTATTACACTATTAACAGCTATTAAATTTTGAGAAATAAAGTAATTGGATGGTTAAATACTAGTATACTACAACTTCAGTGATACCTGAATATGAGAACAGTAAGTACCTACTAAAAGGAAGATGAAAGCTCAGAAACATCATCAGAAAGGTCTAAACCAGAATGTGATGACATTTTAATTAGTGATTACCTATATGAATGAACAAGGTTTCTTAGTAAAGATTTTGGTAACAACTTTAATAAAATCACTATGGGTCAAATGTTTTTATGGAGGGATATTAAAATTATTAAAGTTACAAAAGAATTCTCTGACAGGTTATTTTATACCACAACAAACAAATTATGGGCAGCCAGATTTTAAAGAAATTATAGTTTTAAWGAAAACTAGATAATATTCAAAAATAAAATCATCAAACATAAATTTGAAATTTGCATTTACTGAAGAGCCCGGAATCTTGCAAATTAAAAAACAAAAGATTTAATTTCATTGTGCAAAGCTAAACTCATTCCAGAACTTACAATCATTTTTATAAAATCTTTTAAAAAAAACTATGAAAATAAGATTAAATTATACACCTAATAAAATTATACTTATTTAATTAGTATGGTAATGAAAATTACAAAAATTAACTATTTTTTTTTTTTACATTGTGTTTCAAAAAAGTATTACCTATATTATTTAAATAATAATAAATTATGTTCAAAAGCATTTGATAATTTTATAGTTATTATCAGTTAAGAAAATATAATTTHAAGTYGCAAAAAATTGGTATGAAAACAATGTTAGGTACCTTAAATATGAATTCTTTCCGCTTTCGGGCTTTGTTGGAGTCCGTGACGTGTATGTATTCTCGACGTTGACATGGAAACGCATCAGATACTGCTGCATTGAAGTATAAAAATAATGTGATTATTATTTTTGTAAATATAATTATAAACAGTATTATGSCCCGTAAAATTCAACAATTATTATTTATACTTTATACGTACATTTTATTCTAAACAGAAAGTTTTCAGTCTTCAGATACATTTATGTTAAATCGTAGTACTTGACACTTCTTATGTAGGTAYTTGAAAGCAGAGGTTAAAGTGGGGTAAAATTCCAGAGGGGACTAATGTCTCCATAAAGTTTTAAGCGTTCCATTGTTCCATATATAATTTTAGGTATAATGTCTAATGTATAAAATCCTAATTTGTTAAAGGTGACGCTTTTTAACCGCCGTCAGAGGTAAGGGGACTGAGTCCTCCTGCGTCCCCCCCACTTTAACCCCTGCTTGAAAGCACTAAATTCGTCGTCTCAGAATGAAAAGATTCTAACGTAATTTTTGTAACTATTCAGGAGAACTTTTTAAGTTAGAACTTAGAAATGGAATACATTTTTAATACTAAGTTACCAAAATTTGATGCAGTAAATATAATAATAAACCAGTATCAGTAGCGTCGAACCTATAACCCAAGAGATGCGACCGTCTCCCCTTTTTTCGGTGKGTGGGGTCGTAGGAGTCCATAGTTCCGTACCCCAACAAACTATTTATGATTTATGTTCCTAACTCCTAACTTCCAAGCTATTAATATATATGGTTTTTATTTTGTAAACAGGGGTGGTGGTCCGTATAACTTTTTACTTGCTCCCCCCTTTTTAAAATATAATTCGGCGCCACTGAACCAGTTGCTGCACCCACAAGCCATATTGAAGATTTTGAAGTCATCACTCAGCCTCTCAATGATACCGTTTTGGTGATGGCGTCCAATCCAGCCATTGTGTAGTAAGAATTTCTCATTACATGCAATTGGGATAACAGCATAATATATATTCAAACAAACTTTGGGTGATATGATTTGAAATTTCACAAATTTAAAAATACCGCCGTAATTGCAAATGGATATATGTCTCAAATAGACTAATATAATATTATGTCGGTGGATCTGTATTAGAGTGTTTACATGTACAAAAATACATCCGACTTTATTTATTAAACCGATTTAATTTGGTTAAACCACATATTCGAGCGTCCTTAAAATAAAAGCGGTTTAAGTAATTAAGGTCGCTTTAACGCGTTTACATGATGCATGATTAAACCGCTTAAGTTTTTAAACCGACCTTAATTGTGCATGTAAACGTAGTATCAGTATCATTTTGTCTCTGGATCTGAATGACCCAGACCTGGTATCAATTATTATCAGAATGGTTACCGGGATCGTCCGATTACGCGTGATCTATATTTTGTCAGCATACTCAGCATAATCTCTTTTCTATGCTCAGCATAGTCACTGACTGTCTAGTCAGCATACCAACATACCCGTGTCCCGTGCCTGCGGCCCTACACTGTTCATAAACACCGAGACAGTCAGCAGTAAAGACTAAAGTTCAGCACTCTGCACGTCAGCGCTCGTCACTCGTCACTCGTCAGTTCAGCACTTCAGCAACCAGTACTCCACTGGACAAGTTTGATTATTCTTATTCTTTATCTCTGGTAGCCGTGGCACTGTGACAGTCGTTTAGTGTATGTAGATGTAATGTGGTAGAAATATAAACTACGAAGTATCGAACTTGAAAGGTGAAACTACTTAACTAATTACTATAAAGTAAGCTATTTTTTTTGCCAAGTGTTAACCTATTTTCGACACTAACCAATTCCATGTGATTCGACTCCAGGTGGTCAGTACACTTTTGAAACACTTGGACCATTCACCACCGAAAGTACAATAATTAAATATCTGTCAGTTGAAGTAGACACTATTATTTTTTATTTTATTTCCAATTCCCACTCCAGTTCCAGATGGTTAGAATGTTGAATTGTAAATTTTCATCAATTTTAAACAGTGGGGCATGTTTGNACTGTCTAGTCAGCATACCAACATACCCGTGTCCCGTGCCTGCGGCCCTACACTGTTCATAAACACCGAGACAGTCAGCAGTAAAGACTAAAGTTCAGCACTCTGCACGTCAGCGCTCGTCACTCGTCACTCGTCAGTTCAGCACTTCAGCAACCAGTACTCCACTGGACAAGTTTGATTATTCTTATTCTTTATCTCTGGTAGCCGTGGCACTGTGACAGTCGTTTAGTGTATGTAGATGTAATGTGGTAGAAATATAAACTACGAAGTATCGAACTTGAAAGGTGAAACTACTTAACTAATTACTATAAAGTAAGCTATTTTTTTTGCCAAGTGTTAACCTATTTTCGACACTAACCAATTCCATGTGATTCGACTCCAGGTGGTCAGTACACTTTTGAAACACTTGGACCATTCACCACCGAAAGTACAATAATTAAATATCTGTCAGTTGAAGTAGACACTATTATTTTTTATTTTATTTCCAATTCCCACTCCAGTTCCAGATGGTTAGAATGTTGAATTGTAAATTTTCATCAATTTTAAACAGTGGGGCATGTTTGRCCATATGAGAGTTTGGTATTGTTTTATGCAGCGATCAATGATATTATATTGTAGTCTAATAGTCCTTGTACATTGWTTTGGACATGAATACAATGATACATTACACTTAATTATGATGTGTTACCTATTACGCTTAGGGGTTGCTCTTKAAATGAATTGATTCCATAGAACATTTATACTTCCATCAACCAGTCTCACTTGTGTTTACTGTTTACTCACATTTGTACACTACCTCACCTGACAACTAACATTGACATTGATATAAAMCGACATTTAGAAGTACAGACTTCATCACTGTTATTAACGAACTTCCTATCTCCAAATATTCTGGTATATTGTTCTGGTACTTTATGAGATTGGTTTTGATTTTTTTTCTATACCTACTCCACACATTAATTTTTGTTCCAAATATTGAACTACATATTTTCAATTTTGCTAGTTGGCATTTTTGTTTTCCATGAGAAATGTATATCTATATCAGTTATGTTTTCTTTGAAATATGAAACCACATACTCTTACCTGGTTTATAATTTTTTGAAAATTAATATGTATATACATTTAATAATTTACATTATGTCATTCTGTTTTAGTTATGTTCGTTTTAAATACATTTTTTTGTTTACCAATAATTAATATTTTTATTTTTGAATAATTAGGTTTATAACAGCAGTCATGAAGTGTTCAGATTGTGGTTCTCTGAACCTCGATTCCAGCGATGGACCAACAGTATGCATGGATTGTGGTGGAGTCATGGATGAATCTCATATTGTCTCTGAAGTCCAATTTGAAGAAACTGATCATGGATCGCGTGCTGTTGGACAGTTTTTATCATCTGATTCTCAAGCTGCTAATTTCCATAACTTTGGCAGTGCTTTCCACCATGGCATGAAGCAACCATCTCGAGAAATGACTCAAGCCAAAGCTAGGCGTGGTATACAAGTATTAAGCAACAGTCTCAACCTTAGTCCTCAAACTTTGGAAAACGCTTGCGTTTATTACAATATGGCATTGAAAAGACACTTCACTCGAGGCAGAAAGAATGCCTTAATTTATGCAGCATCTGTTTACATAGCATGCCGTATGGAAGGCACTATGCACATGCTATTAGATGTAGCTGATGCTAGTGAAGTTAATGCATTTGAGCTAGGAAAGACATACCTGAGAATGATGCAAACATTGACTCTAACAGTGCCTAGTCTTGATCCCAGTATTTTCCTTATGCGTTTCGTTAATTCTCTGGATTTTGGTGATAAAACCCATATTGTGTATACGACAGCAATGCGATTACTGCAAAGAATGATGAGAGACTCAATTCATACAGGTAAATTTATTAATAAAGCCTATTGATCATTATATCATTAATTTTACTGCATCATAGGTGTGTTCAGGAGGTATGCCATGACATCCTTTGCAGAGTTATCATAATCGTAGTGTTAGTTGTAAATGTTTCGATTAGAATCATGAACTTACATAGTTAATATTATGTTTAATACTTAATCAATTCATAATTAGATTTTATATATTTTGATAATTCTTTTCTTACACCAATATTGAGAGTTGAGATGAAATCAAATATTAATTAGATTTCATAATAACCAGAGATAGATATCTATTATCAGACTTTAAATAATAAAATAGAATGCTAATCCATAGTTATATTAGTTGAAGTCAAATTGTTTCTGTTATTACTAAACACATTATTTACTGTAAAAATTATTTAATTATGCATAAATATGAATAACAGCTTATGAGGAAGAGAATGTAATTCAATTTACGTTAAAATTATCTCTAATTTTTTGTCTCATATTTTAGGTAGAAGACCGTCAAGTTTATGTGGTGCAGCTTTATTGATTTCGGGGCGTATGCACGATTTTAATCGTACAACTGATGACATTATTAAAGTTGTTCACTGTCACCATGCCACTCTGAAGAAACGGTTACTGGAATTTAAAGATACACCTTCTAGTATGTTGTCAATTGAAGAGTTTATGACTGTTGACTTGGAGGAAACCCACGATCCTCCATCCTATCGAGTTGCCCGTGCTAGAGACAAAGAGCGCATAGACAAATTTTTTGAAGCTAATGATAGTGAAAAAGTGATTGATGAAGTAAAAACTGCGATTGAAAAAGAACTAAGTAAGAAAAAAAATACTTCAGTCTTAGGTGTCAACTTAGTTGAAATTGCAGCAGCAGCATCCCCTGAACCTGGAAGCAGTTGCAAACCTGTCAGTGTAGGGCCTTCCTTAGAAATTATGGGCTTATCTGAAAGTAAACGATCTTATGAAGAAGATGACGAAGAGGATTCATTGTGTGATGTTGTAATAGATGAAGATGAAATAGATTCTTATATTCTGTCTAAAGAAAGCCATCAAATCAAAAGAAATATGTGGATGAAAATGCATGGTACTGCTTTCAGAAAGATGCAATTGAGTAGGGAAGAAAGAGCTAAAAACCCAAAAGTTATCAAAGCTAAAGAAAAAAAAGCCAAAAATGCATTACGAACACCAGCAAAGACGGCAGCTGAAGCTGTGGAACGAGTATTGAAAAAGAAAAAATTATCATCAAAAATTAACTATGATATACTTGACAATCTTGACAGTTTTGTTAATTCTGATTCCTCATCTTTACCTGGACTATAACTTGATTTATTTTATAGTAATATAACTTATAAATTAAAATTTGTTATATTATTTAGTTCCTTTATAAATTAGGCATGTACATATAATTTTTTAAGAATGTATATATTTATTTATGATATTGTTTTAAAATAATGTACTTTAAAACCGAAAAGAACTAGATGAGTTAATACTGCACTTAATAGTATCACAAACTCTAATATTTTCTTTACAACAAGCATTTATTTAAAAAAAAAGCTTTTCGTCTAATTACATTCTATTTGTTACAAACTCAATTTGTTTTACTTTATTAAATTTATTTGTTTTAATTGAGTTTATATTATTCATGATATTTTTTATTATATTTACTGTATACAAGACTAAATAAGACCTAATTAACATTTTTCTTTTGTCCCATTCCTGAGTTGAGGTAAAAATAACCATGGAAAATGTCCACTTACAAAAAGTAGATCTATTGGAAATAAATTAGGAAAATAAAAGTGAAAGTTTCTACGGATGAAGCTGAATAGGCTTAGAATGTTTAGATGCTGTAGGAGAATCAAATATCAATTAGCAGAAAAAAAGATTGTACAAACTGTTACCATGGAAAACGTTAACTAGATTTATAAGTTTTTTATGTAGGTATAAAATACGAGCGTAAAAAGTSTAATAGTTTATAGTTTTTTTAACATCAGTAAGTCGAAATATTATAAAGATGTGATTAATTTGTTTTTAATTTTATAAGGTATGTACTGTATTATTTCATTATTTTTTGGTACCTAAAATTACTTAATAACTACTATAATGAATATACTATATATTTAATGATATTTAATCTTCCCCATAGACAAAAACTTCTAACCTGAACTTTTTTTAAACTAGATTCCACATGCTTGTCAAAGGATCTGTAGTCAAAATGTTATGAACATACTGTATTATTAATATCATGCTATCTTTGGCTTTCAGTCTTGACACTAGACAGTACAGAATCATAGATAATACAAATCAGCTGTGCAGATAAAATTATTCTATAGTAGTGATTTATAATATTTTTTACACTACAGTCACTTATTTCCAACCTTTTTTTTAGCTTAGGCTAGAACTCAGCTGTTCCCAAACTTTGTTCCACAGTGCCCATTTTTTAACTTAATTCAGCTGCTGTGAATACCATAGAAGACAGGACAGAAAAATACTTATTTATAACTAATTTTATTAAACCTAATACACTAATATAAATTCTTTATTCTAACCTTGTCATATTAAATATAAAAATATTACTAATGAAAAAAATCACAATCGGTTTTTAATTAATGTGATGTATGTTGTTTTTGAGTCTCATTACCTTTTGGGTCAGTAAAAATGCCACGATTTTCTTCATCAGCATGACAGCATCTTTTCCAGTAGGAAAATTAATCTCTGTACTAGACTTATATAAATTATATTTTATACAATTAATTTATTATTTGAATGCATACACAGTGAAACTTTCATATTATTGAAATGACGTGAGTAACAAAACAACATTTTGTATTACAGAGAAATTAACAGAAATTAATTAATTTGGTTCACAAACAATATCTCGCTAAAATTTWGCGGCTAAATGAAAATGTATTGTTTGTAAGTTTTACTGTAATAGAATAAATAATAATTATTGGGAATTATATTTTTATTTCTATAAGTAAAAGTTTTTCACTTTTTAGTATCTAAGAAATCATAATATTCGATATTCCAAGTTACTGATAATGAAATCATAATATACAGAGAAATGTTCAAATGTCAAATGTGTGATAGAATTAGAAACCTACAATAGTGTTGAGGCCTCGATATTCATCCTGACTATTGGCTTGAATGTTATAGAGTATGGTCAAGTATGAATGTTTTTTTTATCTTAAATATTGGTAATAGTATTTTCTAACTATGGAAACATATTTTCGTAAACGTAAGTACAAAAAATAATTTTTTTATAAATAGGCTGAGGTTTTTGAATAAAACTTTTATTTTTGAATACATAAATGACCTTGCAGCTATTATTGTAATTAATGATACTAATACTGTATTACTTTATACCTATTAATTAGTTTTCTGGTATTTTTTTTTTAAATCAACGATTTTGTTCTTGTATTGTATTACATAATATCATTGACTACTCTTAATACTTAAATTTGGAAGAGGGAGTCGATTTTCTAAATATATATTTCGCTAGTTCATAAAAATTGAAAATTATATTTTAAATTTGAGTACCGCCTTACTTATAACACATTCGCTTATCTACTTCCTGATCTCAGTGGCAGTCAAATGATTTTATCCTGGCGATATAGCTGATGATTTTCTAACATACATAAATACATTATCTAATTATTAAAAGTATAATTTATGTTTAACGTTAAACATTTAAAAAAGGCTGTCTCCCTTATTCCCCTTAGACCCTGGACCTGATACCTATTTATGAGAAAGGGTGTTTTACGATTACATTAACATAAATTACTTTCAAGTTTAAATGAAAAACTCCAAGTCTCGTAGAATTGTTAGATTTTGAAGTTTGATTTTTTTTTTTTATTACCCAAGCGGAAGAATTAACAGCCCAAATTGAACTTAGATTTTTCATTGTATTTTATATATAATGGTAGATACCGATAAAATACCTAATTTGTAAAAAAARWTTWACATTAATTTTTTAAACTTTTAAATACATACATAATATTATTAATCTTATTGGAATCATAATTTTGAAGAACTGAGTTCACTGTAAGCCTGTAAGCTTTAGAACATTTGCCTTTATTAAATAATGAAATAATAATCAAATTTGGTTAATAATACACAGTGGATGGCGTGTACAGAAGAAAAGGTTAACAATATATATATCTTCTAGTCTTGACTATTTTTTTTTTTTGTAAGGAGAACCCGCGGCAACATAGGCCATTGGGTGTGGGGTAGTACGGTAGGGGTTATTTTTGTATATTTGTTTATAGRCTTTTAAGTGGGTAGGGTTGAGTTATAACACGTGTTTGTGTATGTGTGGCAAGGATATATTGCTAAAAATCCCGGGTGGTCATTAGATTTTGAAGTTTGATTTTTTTTTATAAGCGGAAGGCTTAACAGCCCAAATTGAACTTAGATTTTTCATTTTATTTTATATATAAGGATAGATAATCAAATTTGGTTAATAATACACAGTGGATGGCGTGTACTGAAGAAAAGGTTAACAATATATATATCCTCTAGAGTCTTGAAAATTTATAAATTGAAAATTCCAACTTCCAAGCATGTATTCAGGATCAATTTTCGATGGGAGGGGAAGGGTAAAATATTTTAAGTCCGTCTTCCGACAAGATTGCGATACTTAACATATTATAAATATATAAATACTTAAAAAAATTCTGGGGGGGTTAAACCCCTAAATCCCCCCCCCTGTATACGGGCCTGATAAATTTCATTATTTATATCTTTATTATTATAATATTTTCATTAACATAATTAATTACAATTTATTATTAGTTATTCCCCCTCCCACCATACTACACCCACATTTTGAATATTTTTTGGAGCTGGGCTCGCTACTGATTCTAGAGGACAGGATCATTATTTCTAAAGAGATTTTTTGAGAGAAAAATTACATCAGCAACATAAGGAAAATTGGTAATTCAATGTGGTTCGTATGGTTAAGATGCGCAAAAATATTTTTATTTCGTTGTTCAATCTTGCGTTTAAATCATTTATTGAAATTAAATAAATAGTTAAATAAATTCATTATTATTTCTAAATGACAAAATTGTCAAGCATGAAATTGAAACTTGAAGATATGTAATATTTAGTACACTTACTTTGAAAAAATAGCTCCTTTTCAAAAACACTCAATATTCACGTCAACACACACAAATGTGATTTATACCACAGTAAATTATTTTAACTCAGAAGTCAGAACAGTAAAATGTATTTAAATTATTATATACCACTATAACTACTATAACTCAAGAGTGTAGTAAAAATCAGAATCTCAGGCAATGAGATTAATTCATGAATTCATGATGATTTTCCAAGTATTGTTTTTGAAATTTGTACTGCAATCGCCCACCGCTAAATCAAAAACACGTAAAATACAATTTGTGATGGCCAGAAGCAACAGGTCTCATCAGCTTCATAAAAATATTAATTTTTGTCGATATTTCGTTAAGTCATTTGCATGAATTTTCCAAGCCTAGTCAGGTACATAAAAGATGCCATTTATAATAATAAATAATACTATGCTAATAATCAATAGCTTATGGCACAAAMGTATTAGAGTAGGACAGCAGGTATCAATGTACCTATCATAATTCATAGACACAAATATTATATGTCTACGATAGAGATATTATTATTACTCTTTTTCTCGATAATTGTAAATCTGTTATATTTTTAACTACCTACCTTTTTTTTTAAATAAAAAGTTATTATCAAATATCCATAAGCTATTATATTAGTTTAGGTTGGGTAGGTACAGAATAAATTTCGTGGTTTTAGGTCTATGGTTATTATGTTATTTTCTTGATAAAAAATAATATTTATTATTTGTTTTGTTATTATTATTACTATTGTTATCAATAATATTTGTATCTGGTACTCTGGTACTTTTGTGAATGCTGTATTTATAATTAAGTTTTATAATTATTTTAAGTATGTCTCTTGAAGTTTTTAACGAATTCCGTAAATAATGAATTTAATSATAATAAAAAATGTATTAAAAGTAGTGTTCATAGTTTTTGTAGTTCAAACTGTATTTGTCCACTGTGACAAATCAGTTTGCCAAGGAAATCATGAAGTCAATAAACAGTGAGTAAATAATGAAGACAGTGTTGATAATTTTATAATTATATAAATATTATATGCATGACAGATTTATATTCATAAGTACATTAGATGGAAAACTTAAAGCAATAAATACTGCTGACGGAGGAACTGAAGCTTGGGAATTGTCAACTGAGCCAGGAGCATTGTTATCTTCTAATATTGGCCAACCAGAGGTAAAAAAAAAAAGAAGAATGGATTAATAAACAAGCTAAAATGATTTATTATGTGTGTAAAAASATATGCGGTATTAGATAGTGAACAGTTCAATAGTGTGCCGCACTACGCTGTAGATTGATATAATTCCTACTAAAAAAATGAAAATTATTAACGCCTGAGTATRWTATTTATTAATTTAAAATCGTTTTWTTTGAAGTTATCAAATAATGGCCATTGGGTTCGGATGATTCCATCGWTGAGTGGTGGTTTGTATATATTTGATGGTGAAAATCTTGATCGTCTACCATTTACAGTTGATTCTTTATTAAAGTCATATTTTCCATACTATGATGGTTTATCAATGTCTGGTATGTTTTTTTTTTTTAAATATGTTTAGTGATTAAACAATTAATTTAACTAGACATTTTTATTTATTATTAAAGGTGGGAAGATAAGTCGAACATATGGTGTTGATATGAGTACTGGTCAATTATTATATAAATGTGATATGGATCAGTGTATTAATATTCCAAGTAATAGTTTTACGAACATAAGAGGAAATATTTTGATTTTACAGAGACAAACACAAACTATCCGAGCATCAGACATTCTTACTGGAATAGAAAGGTAGAGTTTTAGTTATAGTTTTAACTTATRATTAACTTACAATTTTCTGAATCACAGTGTAATATTTATCTTCTCTTTAATTTAAATTTTACTGGATCTTGCTTATTAATAATGTTTGTGCTTAAAATGCTTAATAAATTTGTTATAGAACACACATTTTCTTTTCCGATACAATTATAATTACTCATAGATTAAGTGGTATCAAAATATTTTTAAATCATTTAGGTAGAAAATATTTTTAGATTTTCACTACCCAACATTATACTTGCTGCATATTAAAAGAAAAGAAAATGTTTTTACAATAATACAATATGTATACTTATATACTTGAAATTTATTATATTTATACATTTATTAGATTATACTATAATAGTTTATAACTTATACRTAACTTAATGTTTTTTACCTTGSTCAGAACWTGTACCACCCTTATTTTTAACTAATTTGAAACATATTGRTCTGCATACACTTTTGATCTATTGAGTCTGTGCTTTTGTAACTGAATCAACAAATTTTGACTGTGGTAAACACAATGCATTTAACCAGATTGAGTGATCCCATTATAAGTAGACCATCCATCAAAGTGTATAATACAATMATTTCAGTTTTAATGATTTCWTGCRAAGTTTCCTTATCCTGCCTTTCTACGACAAAACCGTAACTATCAAAAAGAATCTTATGCTTGTGTAAAAACTGACCAGCTGCARGTAGACTWCATCCTATAGTGACTGGTAGAGCGCATTTGTTGGTAGATTGAATACTATATAATAGCCATTTCTTCTACTCGAGATTCATGTTTCGTACCACTTGTATGACATTKCTAATATTTTTCATTTATAGTCTATTGTAGTACAATTGTATTTTTAAATGTTTTAGGTGGAATTTTAGTGTTGGGTTACATGACATAAAAGTAATTATGGATTTAAATAATAATAATTGTCATACCACAAATCCTAGTATCAAACTTGATTTCAAAATAAATATTCCTAAAGGAGTTGTAACAGCAGTAGCGTTTGACCAGCCTCAAGAAATTGTTTGGACTCAYAAAGTATTTATTTATTTTTTATAAATTTTTATAAATTTATGCAAATTTAAAATTTAAWTTTTAGTCAAAGTCCCCCATTGTAAATGTTTGGAAATTTGAACATGGAAAAATCGAATCAATTGATTTATTTAAACAAGATCACAATGTAAATTCTATAGATCCTTTAATTTATCTTGGGATGCATAAAAAACAAGTAAAAACATTTATATAAATTTAACTGACTATAATTTTATTAATTATTAGKTACTAAAATTGAGTTGTACATAATATGTATATTAAATKWTAATGTATATTTAATGTATGTATGTATGTTTAAACATTTTTTAAACATCAAAAACAAGATACAACTTATGATTCACTTTTGGTTCATTAGATTTCAATTATACAATTTTACAAAACTATTGTGTAATTTAAAATTAGTATAGTAATATGACTAATAATATTACTTAATTATTACATGTTAATTAATTAACTCTATATAGCTGTATATTCAAGAAAATGATAAAATTTTTACAATTAACCCAACTTCATATCAACAATCATTAATTGGAGAGGATGAAATGAATAAATCTAGGATTCCTTGGAAACCAATTTCTAGTAAGTTTTAAAATTAAAATAACTTAACGAGTGTATTCTAAAATGTATTAAAT